GGGCCCCCTGCTGCGGCCCCCTCCGCTCCCTTCCTGCGTTCGGTAGCCGGGGCAGGGGCCCTGCTGCTGCTGCCGTCGGTCGGTTCTGGCGTGACCCCAGCTCCGAAAGGAGCTCACCCTTTTCCCGCCGGGACTCCGCTCCCAGTCCCTCGGCCTGGCTTGGGGCGCGGCTCCGGCTCATGGCTCCAGGCGATAAGGACCTAAGAGCTGCCCTGTGTTGGGACAGGCTCGGGTTGGTCTTGCCCAGTTCCCCGCGTCACACGGGCAGGGAGCAGTGCCGAGAGGGAGACCGACCTGAGTCTGCCCAGGGAGAATCAATCCACCATTCCTCTCACTGGCAGCCTCCAGTATTTCAGGTCTGATTCAGATGCTGTCTCCCCACCTCCTGTGCTCAACACCTACTGATGCCCCTTTCCCCCAAGCGGTCCCTTTTTGAATCTGCTTCCCCAGCATCTGGTGGTAGTGAGTGCCACACTTTAATGACACACCGTGTGAAAAACAGCTTCTTTTTGTTAGCTTTAAGCTTACTATCAACTTGTTTTATTGTGTGACGCCTTGATTTTGTATTCTGAGACATAGTAAATAATAAATCCCTATTTATTTTCTCTTCACCACTTAGTGTTTTGTCAGCCCTTCTAATGGCGCCCCTCAAGCATCTCTCTTGTACACCGGACAGCCCTGTTCTTTAATCTTTCCTCTTATAAAGCTCCTCCATACCATGAATCATCCTTGTAGTCCTTTAGACCTTCTCAAGTTCTTGTATGTCTGTTTTGAGGTGTGGGGCCAGAACTGGGCAGTGTGTTCACGGTGTGGACACACCATGGATTTATAAAGGGGAAAGATGATACTATCCATTTTGTTCATAATTCCCTTCTTAATAATCCCACTTGGTTTGACTTTTTGATGACTACTGAGTACTGAGCTGATGTTCTCAGTGAACTGTACACAAAGACTGTCCCGGTCAGGCTGCGATTGCCAGCGTGACCATGCCAAAATGCTGTGTGTGCATCTGAGAGAATCTACCCCTGAGGGCTGGCGTTTTCACGGATGCCGTGGGCTATGTCTGTGCTTGTACTGAAGACAAAGAGATGCACCAATATATCAGTTGCATGTTGGATCCACACCAATAACAGGAAAATTAACATTAACAGCAATCGGCTTTCTTTGGCTGATATGTCACTGATAAATGCCGTGTGCATGCGCACAGCCACAACATGCACACGGCCAGGAATGCAGCTCGGCAGCTTGGAGAGCAGCATCTGGCTAGTAAGTCTGTGGGAGGCGGGGCAGATTGGGGCCCCCACAGTGAGGGAGGGAGTGGGGCAGGGGCAGATGCTGCCCAGCCAGGGCGGTGAATGGAACCCAGGGCCAGGAACAGAATGGAGCCACAGGCAGGTGCTCTGGGGGCACAGGGGGGCAGCTCCCTGTTGCTGTGCGTACCCTAGGGGAGACATGGGGGGGCATGTGCCCCCTGGATTTGTGCATGGGGCAAGGTTGAGCTTCCTCCTGCAGACAGTGCCAGGGGCTGCATACCAGCCTCTTTCCAGTATGGGTAGGCTGGGGCTGGGGTGGGTGGTGGCAGCAGTGCTGGGAGGGGTGACTGGGGAGCTATGGAGAATTTTGGGGTAGCTATAGCCCCCTACGTCTCCCTCTAGTGCCACCCCTGCTCAGGCACTCCGCTCTGCTTCCTTTCCCTTGGGAGCCCAGCACTGGTACGTGTCCCATGCCCACCCTGCAGCACAGGGCTCCCGACAGAAAGGCAACAGAGTAGAGTGCCCCAAGCAGGGTTGGCACTAGGGGGAGACTTTGGGGGCTATAGCCACCCCACCCAGCCCCACCCCTGGCCCCAAGCCAACAGCAGGCATCCTGCCCTCACTGCATGCACAAATCCAGGGGCGGGGGAGGCACATGCCCCCCATGCCTTTCCCAGGGGTGCGCACACAGTGAGAAGTCACCTTCCCTTCTTACATGAGGATAGAGAAATGAACTGATCTTAAACGTAAGTTTTCATAACAGGAGCCACCACTTCATAACTCACCACACGTTGAATTTCTCCTACTCCTATCTCACTTTGTTTACTGTGAATTATAAATAAAAATCACTCCTAGTATGAGGGAGTAAGTACAAACACAAGAGGACATTCTATGAGGTATGGGCAACAAAACAACAAAAAAATTAACCTGTTGAATTAATTGCCTTTAAGATGTCATATAGGCTCAGAGTTTTTGCAGGGTTTCAAAAACAAGTGGACACATGCATAATTTATAGTAATAAGAGTTTTCAGGGCTTTTTAAATTGGAAAAACTCATGCTTCAGGACATACACTAATCTCTTACAAACAGTTGGGGGAGGGGGACAGAACTTCTGGTACTGACAACTTATACTAGACTGGGAGTATGAGAGAAACCTGTTCCCTGACTATAATTTACATTACTTGGTCAGTTGCAGGCCACCCCTCCACTCCCAGAGGCACAGACCTGACCCTAAATTGGGGGAAAAGCAGGTGGTGGTTCAGTCTGGCTGACTTCAGTAAAATTCCCTGTAGGTTTCAGAACTGTTGCAATGCTTGGAAAAAATAATCATTTCTGAAATGAAAGAACCTTGAAGTCTGGTACTTGGTGATTTTAAAAACTGCTTACTACTTGTACATGCATCTTGAAATAAGCAGGTGCCAGATCAGGTGTAGAGGGCACAGGAAAGCTGGCTAGAACCCAATCTTAAACATCGCATAAGTGAATCTTTGCTTTCCCCCAGAGAAAGGCTTCTGAAGTGTTAGAGAAGAGGAATGATGCTGTGCAGTGACGTCAGTCCCAGCCAGATAGACCGCGATGCATAAAAGTACTGAGATGCTTTGGAACAGCATGACTTTTCTGCCTCAAGCTGCATTTCAATAAAGCAGAGATAATATTTTGAATCCAGTCACTTTTCTCCAGAAAAAACTGTAACAGGAATTTGCTCTGAAAAATATTGCAATGATCAATACTAGTGCTACATAAGCATCACTGGTATCATGCTTGATTCTTTTACTTGTCATTGTTTGACAGCTCATCTGGATAATATTACTGAACAAGTTTCAGTACTTCACAGGAAAAATGTGGAGAAATCAATATACATTTTTCAGCTGATCCAGTGTGTTGAATAGATTTGGTCCAGTAAATAACAATAAATAAAAGGTAAAAGCAGCATCTCTCATCATTAGTATTACAAATGCAGGCTAGTTGTATTTCCACCAGTCTGGGGAGTTTTTGGAGGGAGAAAAGAGTGAACTTCATTATATGCTGGCATCTAAATATATGGGCATTCTGAGTGCAAAAATTTATTTTATCTTGCTGCAAAATGGAAAAAACTTTATAAAAAGATGTAATTTTTTTCACTGAAAAATGACATTTTGCATTTCCGTTTTTGCTTCAGGATGTGGCTGTCAGGTGAGATGGCATCTGCTGGAATGGTTTTCAATCATAATTTGCATAAGGATTCTGAGAATGATGTCCTATGCAACGTCACTGTTAAGCTGAAACACCACTTGAAAGAATATTTTTGATAACCATTGTCAGCAGAAGAAGGTCATCTTTCGTTAATAAATTGACTGTCTGAATGCAGCAATTCTACTTAGTGTGATGAGCCTGGGGCGGACGTATTCCCTTGCAAAAGATTTTAGTCCTTATGAAATTACTGGGTTCTTTCTGCTTCACTGCTCTTTAGCTCTCCCACATGTATAGGCCCTTTTTCACCATTGCATCTGAGCCCTTATCCCTTTTTAAATAGGGTCCTGAGATGCAAGGGTTGCACAGCAAGTTTTGTTGCTTATGGCAGTATGGCTAGAATGATGAACTTGTTTTCAAGGCCCTGGCCTTAAACCCCTGAGATAAGCTCCTTGCTCCTCGGTGGATTTCTTGTGTGATTTGTAGATAAGTTACTTCAATCTAAGTCATTTGGGCACGTAAAGTTACAACTGGCAATGTCTTTAAAAGGGTTTTGTTTGTGCAAGGCAGAGGCTTCAGAGTTGTCTGAAAATCTTGTGACCACGTTTTAGTTCCAATTTTTGTAACAATTCAGTGCCCTGAAATATTTGGTAGAGAATGTGCGAGTAACGCACAGGCTCACTACAACAATATGTATTCCTTCTATTAAACTTCAGCCCAGAAGTAGGATGAGATTTCTTCCAGGCCAGTTTTAACGTGGATTAGCAATGTAGCCTTTTTGCCACAGCTAACTTTTCCCCACCCCAAAAAGCATGTAGCATCCTTTCTCTAGGGTGGCTAAACTACAGACAATCTTAATCCTGGCATTTCTATCGCATAGCATCATACTGACCCTACAGTCCATTAACAAGATTGAATCCTGTGCACAGGCCTTCTCCACTTGGACTAACAAAGTAACTGCTAGCAATTGTAGATTATGGCCTGTTGACTAGCATGAGAACAGGATGATACAGATGTTTGTTGACTGAGAATGGTGAGACTGACATCCTGGGTTCTTCTCCAGGTTCTGGAAGGGAATAGCTAATATTTATACCACGAGCCAGCTGCCTGTCAAGAATGACGGGGCGGGGGGAAGGGCCTGGGATGGAGTGTTGCCGCCTAACGCCCCATGCGCTGCTGTTCTGCCTCTTGCAGGGAGCAGGACGGGGGAGCAGAGGCCAGCACTGCTGGCCCTACCTCCCTCACCCCGTCTGGTCCTCAGCACAGCTTCGGAATCATGGCGGCACTCCCCCACGCTTGGAGCACTCTGGCTGTTTCAGTCAACCAATCGGAGTGCAAATAAAGCATTACGGACAGATGGACAGACTTAGGCATTTATAATATTAGAACTAGCAAATAGCCCATCAAGAATGACGGGGCTGGGCGGGGACAGAGGTCTGCATCCCTTCCCCTGCCTCAGGCTGGGGCTGTGGCCAGGGCTGCT